GTCGACGCTGACGTCGTGACGTCATAATCAATAGTTGCCTTTTCAAACACGTGACCCTCCTTCCCTTTGCGTCATACACGTGAAGCGCTTTCAAGGAAATCTGCAGTATAGTAAAACAAACAAACAAAATGAACACGAGCGGTAAAACACAGCAAGCTGGGGTTTAAAAAAATATCGCAACTATGAAATTGACTTCAGGAATCAAGATAAACCAGCTAACACATCATAATTGTCACTTGAAATGCGTTAAGTCGCGAAATAAACGTTAAGATAAAATATTCCATAAATTATTTCGCGAAGATAACATCAGTGACTGATTTACAACGAATCCTTGTGTGGCCTAGATGAAATAAATTTGTCCCTTGTACAATACTTAGCACCACACTGTGTATGCAGATGTATCGGCAAGCGATGTATAGCTCCACGTTTTCTATAAATTGGAGGTGAGTGGTTAGCGTCACGCCTCGGTTGCTTTATCCCCAAGGAAAGAGCCCCTGTACCCAATGAATAGGAGGCTAATTGGGTCCCGCAGTTGATCTGGTCGTTCTGACGAAGGGAAAAATCTACTTGATCCTCTTTGTCTAAAGCATGATTTAATGACTATGGCTTGTGCAGGCGTGTTTTTTGTCAGGGATGAGAGTTTTTCATGCAAGCATTCAGGAGACTTTGATCAGAGTTTATTCTGTGGGCGTAATTTAACATTACTGTTTTTGTTTCAAAAAGGTACTTATTGTCAGATTGAACTCTTGACAATTCAGTTACAAGGTTGAAAAGTTTTCCATCTATTATTTCTGCTAACCGTTTTCAGTATCATTCATTTCCATTGCCATGGACTGAAAAGTAGTTTGTCCTTAAGTGTGAAGGCTTCATTGTAGTTACATATTTATGACTGCCTAGATCCACATTGTAGGCCTCTTTATGAGTAACACAACGTAAAACTCCATCTGTCCGTGACGTCTTTTCAGCGCTATTTATATATTGATGTCATCGGATTTATTTTGAGAAATGGAAGATGGGTGTTAAATTTTATAAGTTCCTCCCACTGAGGACTGCCATTTTAATAGAATAAAATTAATATTTGTTTTTAAGCTACTTTCCTTTTTGAAAAGGAAAGACTTCCAAATAAAATGTGTCTGTCCTAATAACTTTTGGTCCAAATGACAGATTTTCATGAAACTTGGTATGAACATAATTCCGGTAGAGGGCATTCCACCTTTTAAATTATTAACTACTTACCGGCTATAATACCGACATGCTGGTGGTAATACCATCTGAGGGAGAGCATTACTAGTGCTGCATAAAGTACGGTCAATATGACATTTTTGCCAAAGCAGTGGATGGTAGATTTTAAAATAACTTGGCTGTCGTGATAAATATATGAACTTAATTTTTTTTGTTGATGGCGATAACTAACGAACCGCTGGAGTTTGCCGTGTGAAAAGACACCATAAACGCCTACATATTTTGTACGAGCCATGTGTTAAGTTCCAAAATTTATAACATTGGTGATGATGGGTAAATTTGAAGCCACACACATGGAGCCACAGAATAAATTTGCCTAGCCGAATTCATTAGGCCAAAGAGTGAAAATTAAGTACAGAGAGTATCCCTGCTGTTCCCACCAACAAGAAAGTAGATGCCAAAAGTTTTCATGAAATTTATTTCGCCGAATATTCATATCAAAAATTTTAGAATATGTTGAAGTAAGTTACATATTTTTTGCCAAGCACTATTGTACATTGACCTATTATGAGCCTTATTTTGTAATGAGAGGATGATTAATACGTGTCCTTCATTGAGCATTTTTCGTCCGTTTGTTTTAAACTGCTTACGTCAGTTTGCTTTATGATAATGTCGCTGCACAAACTTGTGTTGCAATAAGTTTATTAATGTATCAATATTATAAATATTGGTTTATCTTTATGATCTGCACATCAACCAATGGCATTTTCAGTTAACTTTTACTACACTGTCATAAAGAGACAGAAAATGAAGGCATCCATATTTTAAAATACGCTTCTCGCAATGAACCAACCCTTCGAAGATTTCCGTCTTCTGGGTTGTTGCGCTGTGTATTCTGGTTGATGTTAACGAACGTTTCAGAGGTCATACTGCCTCCGTCATCAGGGTGATGACGGAGGCAGTATGACCTCTGAAACGTTGGCAAACATCGACCAGACCACACAGCGCAACAACCCAGAAGACAGAAATCTTCATACTCTGATGACGGAGGCAGTATGACCCCTGAAACGTTGGTTAACATCGCCCTTCGTTTGAAAACTGTAATACAGGGCAGCATTCCAGATCTTTCAATTGAAGAACGTGAGTGATTAAGGGTTCGAAAAGACACGAATTAAGATTTGCAGAACCAACCTAAATCGCATATGATTTTATTGATTAGCATTATGGGAGAGAGTCGCTTAAGCATATGATGATTACCGAGGTATTAAAAAAATACCTTACTCTATGGAAGCCGAATGTTCATTACTGTGTTCACAAATATCCATCTTTAGACCCTATCCGGCCCGGTCGCATTAAATTTGTCTGTAAACTATTTTAATATTATCCTCCCATCTACGCACGCGTTTCGTAAGTGGTCTCCTACGCTGAGGTTTCTGGCCGAAGTGTTGTATGACGTACCAAGTTTCAATTCCCACACGAGGAGTAGCCTCTTCGCCCATCTCATCCGTCTTAAGTCAGTCACGCTAACAATTTTAAACAACGAGTAACAACTTAGGAAATGCAAGCATATCGTAATAATTCTGACCGTTCTGAACAGGGCCATTGACGTCAGAGTTGTCGAGAGTCAATTACATTTGTGTGACGGAGTGTTTAGTGATTGTCTAGCTGAGTGATTACGTCATTATGTATTATCATCGTGGCACAGTGTGACTCACATTACAACGGTTGAGAAATACTGGCACGGGGTTTAATTAAGTATAAGGGAGCTCAGTGTATTAACAAGTGAATAATGAAAGAATTTCTTCAAGGACCATAAACGAAAACAGAGAAGTCTTCCTCTTTAAATTCAGAAGTATTTATGAATGTCTTCATTATCTGAACAATTTGCACACCCCTGTTGAACCAAACTCACTTACGTCTTACTGAACATGGATCTATGTCAATCACATGCAACGCGAGTCTGTTTTCAGCCATAAAATTCTCACGTATTTCATCACACTGCTTCTCTTCTGAATTTACTCGGCCATGATCAACTTTTCCGGCCAGGTTATGCCGTGTAGTCTGGTAGACTGCCGGACTACACGGTGCTACAACCCAGAAGACAGCCATATTCGTATTAACCGTCGTGAGAACCCCAAATTCTACAGGATATGCATGTTCGTGTCGTATGATAGGAGCAGATGAAAATGAATGAATTATAAATATACGTATTGAGCTGTACACGGGATTCTACG